AGCCACTAGGAATGATGCTCTCAGTGCAGACACGTTGGATGAAATGGTGGCCTTCAATAATTTCTTTGTTCTTCAAGTTAATTTATATTTTTTTCCTTTTAAAAACCCCGAAGGCTTGCCTTTGAGTGTAGGTTTTTTGGTCTCCATGTGGCAAAGCAGTTTTGAAGGTTTTATGGCTTCCTTGATCAGCCAGCTGCTCCATATGACAACAAAGTGGCTAGGAGAATATGAATCACCTTTTGCAATCTCTTAATACATAATTTAATTAGAACCCTTGGTATTTTCTTTTAAATGCAGCCTTCTTTTTGTTATTGGTCTTTGAGACTTCTGCTGTTTCATCATCAGGTCTTTCCCCCTTTGGAAAGCTGCTCTCACTTTGGCTAGTTAGTTTGTGGACTTACCAAAACTGACAGATAACTGCATGATGTAGGAAGAGGTGCATTTGAGTGTTCTATGCATTCTGAAGAAATTTTTTGATTTTCATCTACAAGTTCTGCTTTTCTCTACTGGCAATTTTTTCCTGTAATTTTGTTATTTTTAGTGACTATATTCTTTTAATCTCACTTAATAGATAACTTTATGTCTTGATTTTGAAACATTTTTATTAGTCCTAGGGCAGGCAGTGGTTCACTGTCCATTAGAGGAGAATGTTATTACTGAGTCCCGTCCCCAGAATTTTCTGATTTGGTTGGTCTGTGGTATGAAAATTTTTATTTCTAGTAAATTATATAGTAATACTGAAGTTTCTGATGTGGGGAACACTATGTCAGGGTTTCCATAACCTTGACACTTGGGGTATTTTTGTCTAAGTAATTATTGGAACTGTCCTGTGTATACTGGGGTCTCTACCCACCAGATGCTAGTGGTACTCGACCCTGTTGTGACAACTATGAATGTGTGAAGACATTGCTAAATGTTTCCTGGGGACAGATAAAGGAGTTCTTCCTATCCCTATTGAGAACCACTGTTCAGGTGGTTTGTAGGGTGACTGGGGAAAACTTCCCCCAATATCTTTAAATTATTTTCTTTTAAGCTGGTGCTTCTCTTTGGAGACACCACATATTACAGTCACTCTGTCTGGACAGTGAAGGCTCAGCTGCCAGTATTGTGTGCTAGCGCAAAGGGGTGTGGTGTTAGGGGATGCTTAGCAAGCAGCTGGTATCTTTTGCTTATTTGATCTTCTCTTTCTAGTATTACGCTCCTGCTTTCAATGTGTTTGGTATGTTTTTCAGGTCAGAGACTGTGTTCCTTTTCCAGGAAAGAAAAAGAAAATCCTCTGAACTTTTGTTGGGTTTTTGGGAGGAGTAATTGCCTGGTTAGCATGCAGTAAGAATGTGTCTGCTTCTGAAGCTTTCAGGTAGTCCTGTTTTAGCCCCTAACACCTTCCTGTGGGCTTGAACCACCAGTGGTACATGTGTGACTGTCCCATTGGGTGGCTTGAACCACTGGTGGTGCAAACAGATCTAATCATTTTTATTGGTCTTTTTCTTTTTTTTTTTGTTTTTTTTTTGGTACCAGGGATCGAACTCCAGTCCTTGCTCTTGGTCTTTTTCTAATAAAATCAATAAAAAGTCTATCAATGGATCTAATCTAGTTAGTATAATTACAAAATTGAAATACTCAAAATAGGAAACAAATAGATCACAATATGTGTATGTGTATACAAAATTATATATTACAAGTGAAAATAAGAACCACCAGTAAGGAACAACAAAGGAATATCATAAAGGGAAATTTTTTTACTGAGCTTAGTAATAATCTTGCCATGAAATAAAAACAACTTTTTGTTTTAGTGTCTTATATTAACAAAAGATCATAAACAGGTTAGCTATATGTCAGACAATTGAATTCAAATCAGGGCTGCCTGGCAGAGAAGACATATGAATTATGGCCCCCCAGTGAATGTGTTAAGGACCTCCTTCCCTTCTATCCCGAGCCTCTGGGGGATTCTGCTAGTAACTTGAGTTTTTAGCTTTATGCTTTGCTAATTTAGGATTTGATTCTCTTAGGTCTGCTAATCTCATTGATCATATGTCTGTTTGATTTCCAGCTTCCGAAACTTTATCCCAGTTAACCTTTCCATTTGCTCTATTTTCTGAGTTTCTGCTGTACGTGCATTTTTCAAATCATACAGTTTATGATAGGCTTTATCTAGACAATCTAAGAATAAATTTTATAACTTTGTAACAATAAAACAAATAGCTCAATTGAAAAATAGGCAAAGATCTAAGTATAAGCATTTTGCCAAAGAGACACATGGCTAATAAGCACACGTTAAAGTGTTCAACATTATTAGCTATCAGAATGCAAACTAAAACCATTTATGCCTGCAAAGATGGTTATAATAAGAAACATGGTAAGGATGTGGAGAATTGGAACCCTCATACATAGCCAGTAGGAATGTAAAATGGTACAGCCACATGGGTCAACAGTGGTAGTTCTTCTGTGGCTATGCATGGATACGATGTGACATAGTAATTCACTCATAGGTGTGTACTCAAGAAAATTGAAAACATTGCATGGAAATGTTGATGGCCACATTATTAATAATGGCCAAAAGCTAGAGACAACCCAAAAGTCTATGGCCTGTGAAGGAATAAAGTGTACTATGGCCACAGGCAGGATGTGTTTGGCCATAGAAAGGAAAGACACATTGATGTGTGCTGCACACCTTAAGTATGAGTTATATTTCAGTAGAACTTAAGAACATCCTGAGTTCCAGTTTTAGTGGTGGTTTGAGTGGAAACAAGAATACAGCAAGTTCCTGACTTACTACCATTTCATAGGTATACTGTATTAAGACTCACTTTGTTGAGTATGAACAAATCTGACTTGTGAACATTCTCCAGGAACAGAACTTCTTCGTGAGTCAGGGACTTGGTGTGTATGCGTGTTTTCAATCTAGCATCTTACTTCAAACCCTAAAGTACTATAAAATGCTGTATAATAGTATGTTAGGTGATTGTCATTTCAGAATAAGGAGGAATGTCAAAAGAAAAGGATTTCTGAGTCTAAGGTTAAGAAATTAAAATCTAGATTTACATATTGATTTTATGTGTGAGATAGATTTGTTAATATAATCTGTGTAAATTTGTTCTTGAAGCCCCAGATCTATATTTTAACCTCGGTTCAGTTTATTAGCAGTGACACCACAGGGGATCTTTAACATTTAGTTTGTGTCTCAAGTAGGATTAAAAACTGTCTAGGAGGGTGAAAAGAATCCCCATAGTAGTAACTGTCATTTATTGATTACCATCCATGTGTCTGATGCTTGTATTTTACATATATTCTCATTTAATCTTTACAAAAATGTCTGCTATGCATTACATTGTTATTTCTGGTAGCTATGAAAGGGGAAAATGAGAAGTCTAAATAATAAGATGTTCAAATTATGATCTGTATCTGTGGAATATAATTGATGTGTTAATGATATTTTATTTGGAATTGCTAAAGGATTATGTATCATGATTTTAAGTAGAGGGAAGAAAGGTCAGTTGGAAAAGTTTGAAGACTGTTGCAGTATAATTTTGTGTTATCTTTGCTTTTTGGGGGCATTAAAAGTCTTTGTAATGTGCATGTTGAATTGATAAAGGTAAAATAGATTTTTTAAAAAAATGAATTACTTGTAACTTGATCATGGAAAATTTATTTATATACAAAAGTAGAGCATTATGAACTTTTATTCATCTGTCTCCTTTGTAGCTATAATTGATATATATGACTTGTTTTATCTGTATCTGTCTATACCTCCCATTTTCTGCTCCTTCAAGATTTTTTACAATCTCATTAATCTGAAAGGCTTTATAAACAAAATGTTTTGACTATCAACATGCCACTCAAAAAGTTGCACATTTCTGTATCTGGCAACATTTCAGATTCTGGATTTTTTTGGATTAGGGGCATTCAGCCAGTGAATTCTATCTAAATGTCTCCAATCCAAAAGACTCTGAAATCTGACAAACTTTTGATTCTAAGCTTGTTGGATAACCTGAGCTTGACTATATATGTATCATTCAGTGTGTCTTTCGATTTATTGTAATAACCAACAGCTATCCCCATATATTTCCCAGAAGTGTTGTTGATGGGGATGCCATCATCTGTTCAGACTTGTTGTAAGGCAGTGCTAGGGAGATTTTAATATGTGATTCTTTTTTTTTTTTTTAATCTGGACTGTGGTTTCCTGAGGCAGTCTGTTAGGTTCCTGAGCCTACTTTGAGGTTTTTTGATTTGGACATTTGACCAGACCTAAGTATTCTGGTGAATTTACTAAAGATTTGAGAAATAATGATGTGTTTAATATAAAAGCAAGTTTTCATTTATACTCTGTGGTATGAGGCTCTTATCACCTCTCTGTTTGCATGTTACTTTGATCTCCAGCAGACTTTTCTTCACATTTTCTTGGCCCTTTGCTAATCTTTCTTTAGTTTTTATTCCAGGAGAGCCTTATCTAACTGCTCTCTGTGCTTCCTCTATACTTTGTAGTTTATTTGATTGGCTGTCATTGAATTGTTCTTCAGGGAAAGATACTGATTTTTATCTTTGCTTCTCCATAGAACTGCTTGTTAATATTGAATGAAAAAAGTGGGAGTAATAGTATAATAGGCTAAAAATGTGAGGTTGGCTAAACTACACATGCTACAGAAAAAAGCAGGAGGACTAGAGATGGAAACCAGAGAAGCAGGTTAATACAAACAGTAAGAGCTAATTTGTGGCTTGAATTAAATTTGGTTCCATTGACATAAAAAGAACAAAGATATGTTGAAAGAACTATTAGATTTTAGTAGAGGATTGAATATAGAATCTGTACACTCGTAATAAACCCTTTTACTGTTACCACAGATGAAGTTAATGAGTAATGATTACTCAAGATCAAGACACTGAGAAGATGCACTCTTACATTGAGTTATAGTATATGTATGTAGTTGGGCAGCTTTGAGAACTTTTGGAAACTAAACTGGATGCTGCTATGAAAACATCTGTAATACATATTTTTATTTTAGTTCAAAGAAGAAATCTCTAAACGCTTCAAATCACATACTGATCAACTTGTATTGATATTTGCTGGAAAAATTTTAAAAGATCAAGATACTTTGAGTCAGCATGGAATTCACGATGGACTCACTGTTCACCTGGTTATCAAAACGCAAAACAGGTATGGTTTCAGAAGTTCTATAGCTTTAAACTGTAGTTATTGTTTATATTTCTCTTTTTTAAAAAACCAGCTATGACTTTTTTTTTTCTTTTATTGAGTTTATTGGTACATTCTAGGTATACAGTACAATTACATTCATTATTGGGATCTTGTACCTTTTACATGACAGGTCTAGGTTCTCATTTCTTCCCCTTGTCCCTGCCCTCCCTTCACCCCCTCCCCTCCCCATTTACAAACACTTTATTTCCATCTTTTCATTTTGTCATATTTTTTTCTTTTCCCTTATTACCTTTCCCCTACCCTTCCCATTTTCCCTACACCTTTAGCCCTTTTCTTCCTATTTCACATGGTCAATTGTCTCATTAGGATCTTATGTATTATTATAGCTTTTCACACCAGAGAAACTATTTGGTATTTACACATGTGTGACTTATTTATTTCACTTAGGTGTTTATCCTCAATATGTATCCATTTTCCTATGAATGAATCTATTTTCTCATTCTTTATGGCTGAGTAGTATTCCATTTTGTAGAAAAACCACATCTTTATCCAATTTCCAACTGATGGGCAAATGGGCTGTTTCTAAGATTTAGCAATTACAAACTGTGCCACTATAAACATGGGTGAGCATATATCACAGTGGTATGATTCATTTAATTCTTTTGGAAAGATACTCAGCAGAGCTATGGCTGTGTCAAACGGAACCTCTAGTCCCAGCTCTTTGAGGTATCTCCATATTGATTTCCATAGTGGTTGCACCAGTCTGCACTCCCACCAACAATAGAGAAGGGTTCCTTTCTCCCCACAACCCCACTAACATTTGTTATTGGTTGATTTCTTGATAGCAGCCATTCTTTGTGGGGTGAGGTGGAATCTCAGTGTGGTTTTCATCTGCATCTCGTGAATGACCAGTGATGTGGAACATTTTTTCATACATTTACTTGCTGTTTTTACTTCTGTGTCTGAGAAATGTCTGTTCATTGTCAGATGCACATTTTTGAATTGGGTCTAGCCATGACTTTCTAAAGGGCTTTCCCTGACATTAATTTTTTGTTTGTTTGTTTTTTTGTTTTTCAGACAGGGTCTCACTATGTAGTTGAGACTGACCTGGAACTCACTATGTATCCCAGACTGGTCTCGAACTTAGAGTGATCCTCCTGCCTCAGCCTCCCATTGCTGGGATTAACAGGCATGCGCTACCATGCCCGGCAGCTGACATACATTATTAATATTTAAACAGCTAAAATTCCTTTATTGCTGTTGATAGCAGTGTTTTTTGGGAAAAAAAACAGTGGGTTATATGTTTGTCACATAACCACTTAATATTAGGTTCAGCAGTGTTTAATTGTTGTATCTAAATTATTTAAAGTATAGAACAAGCAAATTAATCCTTTTTTTTGGTACTGGGGATCAAACTTGGGCCCTTGCACTTGTGAGTCAGTTGGCAGAACCACTGAGCCAAATCCATTTTTAACTATTTTTTTCTTTAGGGAAATTCTTATACAAAGATCTGGGGTGACTGCTCCTAGCAAACCAAAACAGTAACCATATTTTATTTAAATCTAAGGTACCCTCAGTTTTTAAGAGAAACCTTAACTTTGTCTTTCACTGAGAAAGTATACTCCTAATTAAACTGCTGTTTTATTGTTACTTAAAATTTTATTTTATTCTTTGTATAAGAGCCCCTTTAAACTTACTTGGGTGTGGAATTTTATCATATCACTCTTCTGTATACATTGAAAGAAAATGTAAATGGAATAAGTTGGGTGAAACCTTCCTAAAACTACATTGGGTCTGATTCTCTTGAGCCTGTTGACCTAGTCATCAGTGTCCATATTTTTACATACATTGTCAAACTAGTCTCTCAAGAACATTGGTGGTAGAACATTTCTTAAGAGAGAGCTATAATGTTTCTTCAGGATTTTCTCCCAAGGCATTGGCACCTATTCAGCAAGATTTTATGCTGGTGTTCCCTCAGCAGCAAATGTTTGCTTTACTAATACATTTATTTTTCCTGTTCTGTTTGTGTAATTTTTCTGTATGTTTTAGAACTTTCAGTACCAGTTAATGCTGTAATTTTTCAGAGCATGCTTGGTGTGTTAAACTCAGCATACATGGTACAGTCATGTACTTTGTCCCTCTGCTGAAGGAAACCCTGAGAGAATGTGTGTGTGGGTATTGCAGTTAATGCCTGGCCATCAAGCACTTGTAAGATCCTGATGGCTTAGATGCTAAAATGGAAAGTTGAACACCTTAGACTGAAGAAAGCTGTGAGATTCAGAACTCTAACTGGTTTCAGAAGAAAGGATTCTCATTAATTTAGTCTATGTTTTTACTTTAAAATATTAAATAATAACTAGTTATTGCATTGATTTCTTAGCCTTCTGATGAAATCTGTCATTTTTCACTTTAAAAATTTGAAGAATCTAAGTAAAATTAGACTTAGAACTAAGTTCTGTAGAACTAGGTTAGGTTAAATTGTTACATAGTCCAGTTTATTTGAGTATGACTCCTCATTGATTGTCTTCTTTAAAGTGAACTACCTCCCTTTCATATAATCAATTTGAAAACAAATATTTATGTGTATATTATATTCAGATGAAGAGAGGCACTTGCAATATATTTTGAATTTTATAAGGTTTTACAGTATTCCTGTTTGTTCCTAGTTGCTTAGTTAGTTCAAGGTATTTACTTTAAGTTAATTTGAGCTGGTCAGGGAACTTAACCCTTTGTTTCTATGTATTGGGATTTTAGAGGTTCTTTTAGAAATAATTATTAGCTCCACTCCCTACAATGTAATTTAATTATTTTCCCTAGGTCTCAAGATCATTCAGCTCAGCAGACAAATAGCACTGGGGGCAATGTTACCACGTCATCAGCTCCAAATAGTAACTCTACATCTGGTTCTGCTACTAACAATCCCTTTGGATTAGGTATGTGTCTTTAGTTATTTTATAGTGATGAAAACAAAGCAACCACTCCCCATGGTGGTTTTAGATAAAATGATAGAATAAAACTTTAAGTCCTTTTACCAACAATTTAAAAAGCCTTCTATAATTTTTGTAATTGTAGGCATTAAGAAAGTAGTTGACAGGGCTGGGGATTTAGCTCAGTGGTTCCGCCACCTGCTTCGCAAGTGTAAGGTCCTGAGTTCGTTCCCTGGTACCAAAAAAAAAAAAAAAAAAAAAAAAAAAAAAAAAAAAGAAAGAAAGAAAGAAAGTAGTTGACAATACAGGTATGCTTGGTTAGCTTATGTTTGTATTTGCATTTAATCAGTGGTCCATTAGTGATACTTTTTTTTAATAATGAAAGATACATATACACACATATATATGTGTATATATGTTTGTATGTATATCTGATCTTGCCCACTACATAATTGCATCTGAGGATTTTTAGGTAATTGTTAATCATAAACTGATCAAATGAATAATAATTGTCTCATTTGTAAAATGAACGTATTAGACTGCATTAGTGAATTTTCTAACTGTCCTGAACATATGGAAGGCCTGGCCTGAGAGCAAGCCTGTGTTTAAGGATTTTTCTGTGTTAGCCAAAACCACTTGTATCGGTTTTATATGTTGAAATTCTGTGAGAGATTTTATTGAGGAAAAATATTCAGAAGCTAAGTAAACTAGATGCCTCTTTCAGTTCTTAAGTTAAATGACTATATAGTTCATCGAAATGGTGTTTTTTATATTCACAAACTTTACATATCAAGAATCATAACTTTTATCCTTTCCATGGGTGTATTTTTAGTAGTTCATTTGTCAGTAGATATGTATTAAAACAATTTTAGAATATTACTGCATGTATTGGCATATTCACATTTGCTTTTTTCCCCCCTTAATTTAAATGATTGCTGCTCAATTTTTTTTAATGGTATTATGCTAAGTGTTTCTCTTTCCTTTGAGGCAAATAGTTTTAAATGGCAAAATTATTAACATGAACAAATGTAGAAGATGAGGAAGAAATAGTTTAGTGTTTAGACCTATAAAAGGTATTGTTGGGGTAAATTTCTCTCCTCTTCATTTTTTAGTCAGAAATTTTGAGGGATAGAGAAGCTTTTAATTAATTAGCCTATCCCTTCATTTGTAGTCTTATTCCTACCCCTAATTTCTGTCTCCATGCCCTGTATTTCTTCCTTTTCTATATTTTCTGATATTCTCTAAGTAACTCATTTCGCCTCATTTTCTCCACAGGAAACAAATACAAAAATTGAACATCTTATTTCTCAGATAGCTGAGTCTAAGACTCACCAGTCTCTTGGTCTGTAACCTCTTCTCTGTCGCACCACTTACTTGATACAGGTGCTAAACTTTTTTCATGTGTAATGTTTGTTCTGTTTCCACAGTGCTATTACAAAAATAGATTAAATGATTATTCGTAAAACTTTTCAAGTGTGTCCCTCTTGCCCCAACTTATCCCGGGGCACTTTACTCTGAGCTACATTCCTAGCCTTTTGTGTTTTTTATTTTGAGACCGTATCTCACTAAGTTGCCTAGGCTAGCCTTGAACTTGGGATCTTTCTGCCTCAGCTTCCAGAGTACCTTGTATTACAGGCACACACTGTCATGCTTGGCTCCTTCAAGTCTCTTGTCCCACCCTCATTCTTCCATTTCAGCAGTTATTTACATCACGGTGTCCTAAGAGATGTCTGTGAGGCTCCCATCCATATATCATCTTTCAGACTCAAGCTCATCCAATTCCACTGTCTTATGGCGACACCACTTGGATCATGGTGGGAGAGCAGCTGAAGAATTTCAGGCTAGCGTGGCATTGCTTTGGCCAGAAATGCCACACATCATTTCCTGCAGTCCTTTGGCCATAACTTGTCACATGCGCCTATCCCAAGTGCAAAAGAAATACAAGGCTGTCTGTGACATCTGTGAGCACTGCTGCCTGCCATATTGGTCATACTGCATTTTTGGTGGTTTTAAGAATGCATTAGTTTATTTATTGCTGTGTTGTTTATATATGGCATTCATCGTGCCTCCTATTAAATGCCTCCAGCCTTCATCACTTCTCCTTGCCATCTTATTTCTCACACTCATTAGTATCACTTCTTTGGGAAGAGGCCAGTCCAGTTAGGTACTATGTTATTGTAATAACTTTCGTGAATATTTGTTGACGTACTAATACATATCCATGTGGGCTCTTTCCCCTTGTCTGTCTTTCCTCTTATCCCCAACGTGTAGTATAATTCCTGGCATACATAGGAAGTGCTCATTAAGTGAGGAATGAATGCACTTGTTTCACTGTATAATTTCAGAGAGTAAACATTTTCTGATAAGCACTTAATCATTCTCTTAAATATATTAGGTTTTTCTCTGATTTAATGCCTTTTAAGAGGTATCTGTTTCCACAGTATTTCCCTGCTTTCTTTCTCCTTGATAGCAGCAGCTCTGTTCTAACCAGATTTTTCTTTTTTTTTTTTTGGCACTGGGGATTGAACCTCAAGACTTTGTGCTTGCAAGGCAAGCAGTGGCTCTAACCAGATTTTGTAGGTGAATTCTACTTGCTCAACTTAAATTAGTATTGTGGAAAGAGATTATTAGAAATGTAGTCCAACATAAATGCTGTTCAAGAACTGTACCATTGAGCTATATCCCCAGTCTTTACCTTTTGTAATCATTTTGACTTGGGAAGAGCCAGAAATTGCGTGATCCCAGATTTAGTGAATAAGGTGATGAGGACACACTGATGTTTTTATTTTCTTTTAATTTTTTTTTCACACTGATGTTTTTATAAGCCTGCCTTTCCATTGGATGGCATTTGGCAGCAGCATTCACAGTGTTTTTTATCACACCTTGTAAAGTTGCTTATAAAAGAGAACTTCCAAAACTGCATCAAGAAAGGTACAAGAATGATGGCATAAGTGTGTTTAAAGCTCAGGGGGAGGATTTTGAGGAACATTAATGGTAAAATGTCTTTTATTGTAATAAATTAAAATTTAAACATTTACTATATGCTTTGATCATCTGTTTTGTATTACACTACACACATGAAAGTACTTTTGGGGTTTTATCACTTATCTTTAAATCTCAAAGTATAAACTTGGCTAATTTCAGTTATAGGAATTAAACATGTAAGTTAGGAATTCTATTTTGTTTTAAAATACTTCTTGTTTTTGTTTTTGTTTTGGTACTGGGGATTGAACCTCAGTCAGGACCTTGTGCTTGTGAGGCAGGCGACGGAACCACCGAGCTAAATCCCCGGCCCCCTTAAAATAGTTTCTTGGAGTATTGAGAAATTTTGCATTTTCTTCTTTTAGCACAGTTGTGATGATAAAGTTTCTGGCTCAGTTTGTTTTTTCTTTCCTTATCCTCTTAGGTGGCCTTGGAGGGCTTGCAGGTCTGAGTAGCTTGGGGTTGAACACCACCAACTTCTCTGAACTACAGAGCCAAATGCAGCGACAACTTTTGTCCAACCCTGAAATGATGGTGCAGATCATGGAAAATCCCTTCGTCCAGAGCATGCTTTCAAATCCTGACCTGATGAGGCAATTAATTATGGCTAATCCACAGATGCAGCAGTTGATACAGAGAAATCCAGAAATTAGTCATATGCTGAATAATCCAGATATTATGAGACAAGTATGTGGAAAATTTTATTTAGCTAAAAAGTTGTATATTATTATTTAATTTTCTGCATTACAGAGATGACCTCATCTCTACTATCAAACTAAAAAGAAATCCTAATACTTATTTAGGAAAACAAAGTATTAAATTTAGATTATTTGAAGTCTGGATTTTCTGCTATATTTGAAAGTTAATTTTAATTAGTTTATTTGAAGGTATAAAAACAAGTCCAATTCTGGAGATAGGCAATTCACTCATAATCAAGTGATTCCTTTATATTATTTGAATGTTGGTGTGCTTTTTGAGCTAAAATCCACAAGGAACTATTTAAAATGATTTTCTGATTTAAATATAAAAGTTTTGTTTGAAAGCTATAGTGATTTTTGTGATTCTAGAATCAGGTGACATTACATTCTGTAAAATTGAGTGTTCTCATGCACTGAGTATAAAGGAATTTTGATTTGAGGAGTTTGAAAAAGGCTGAAGAAAGTAGAAACGGAACAAAAATAAGATTGGTTGTTACAAATTACTTTCCTAATTGAGTAACTATGCTGATTCAGGTTAACTGAAATCTCCTATTTGTGTGTGTGTGGTTTTTTTTTTTTTTGGTACTAGGAATTGAACTCTGGTCCTTGTGCTTGTGAGGCAGGTGCTGGAACCATTGAACTAAATCCCCGGTTTTTTTTTTTTTTTTTTTTTTTTTTTTTTTTTCATTTTGGTACTGGGGATCAAACTCGGGTCCTTGTGCTTTTGAGGCAGGCTAAATCCCTGGCTTGTTTGTTTTTTCAACTAACTTTTTCAAAGTTTACTTTGATTATATAGCACTTAATATAAGTGACTCCATTCTGATTTGGTCTAGTGTGCTAGGCTTTAGTGCAGGAGTCTACTAGTCCAAAACATAGGCCGGTCTTAAATTTTAGTGGTATTGAGTAGCTAGAGAAATCATGTATCTTTCAGTGCTTTTTATTAAACTGGAAATTTTTTTCTTAGACATTGGAACTTGCCAGGAATCCAGCAATGATGCAGGAAATGATGCGAAACCAGGACCGAGCCTTGAGCAACCTAGAAAGTATCCCAGGGGGATATAATGCTTTACGGCGCATGTACACGGACATTCAGGAGCCAATGCTGAGTGCTGCACAAGAGCAGGTGACCCACTGCCTCCAGGGCCAGGCCCTGGGAGTAGCACTATCTAACACATGATGTGTATGATTGAGGGGCACTTTTATAGGGAATGCGATTGCATTAGAAAAACAGTCCAATATTTGTTATTTAATACAAAATTTTATTTAAAATTTTTGTGTCTTTTATTACAGTTTGGTGGTAATCCATTTGCTTCCTTAGTGAGCAATACATCTTCAGGTGAAGGAAGTCAGCCTTCTCGTACAGAAAATAGAGATCCACTACCCAACCCATGGGCTCCACAGACTTCCCAGAGTTCTTCAGCTTCTAGTGGCACCACCAACACTGTGAGTGGCACTGCTGGTAGTGCTACCAGTGGCAATGTTGGGCAGAGTACTACTGGGCCAAATTTGGTGCCTGGAGTTGGAGGTATGTATTTAATAATTCATGATTTTTAAAATTATCCCGACTTAATGAAAATATTACCATATTGTTCTTTGTGCCTTTGTGTGTGTGTGTGTGTGTGTGTGTGCTTTTTTGTTTTTTTTTGGTACTGGGGATAGAACTCAGGTCCCCTTGTGCTTGGGAGGCAGGTGGAGGGTGAGGTATCTTACAATGTTGTAAGTTTTGTGGGATGTTTTGAGAGGAAGGATAAAATTACATATGTAACAGGGCACAACATATGCCGGGTGTGTTGGCGCACGCCTGTAATCCCAGCACTCAGGAGCCTGAGGCAGGAGGATCGCTGTGAGTTCAAGACCAGCCTGGGGTACTTAGTGAGTTCCAGGTCAGTCTCAACTATATAGTGAGACCCTGTCTCAAAAATCCAAAAACAAAAAGAAAAAAAAAAGGGCACAGCATGATGTTTTGACAAGTGTATGTTGTAAAATGATTAAATCAAGCTGATTAACAAACATGTCACTTCGTATATTTATTTTCTTGGGTAAGGACAATAGTCTGTTACCAATTTTCAGATATTTAGTATTATAGTCACCATGCTATACATTCTATACATTAAATGTTGAGAACTTCACAGATTTTGAGCAAAGGAATGATGCAAAATTTTTAAAGTAGTAATGGGATTATCCCTAGTTATCATTTGTAGAACATAATTGGAGAAGCCAGAACTACTGGAGGGAGCTTGAGTGTGGGATTGTTGAGGTAACGCAGTGCATGTAAAATGATGACTGAGGATATGACCAAAAGAGTAGAAAAGTAAGGCAACCATCCACTTACGGAAAAAGAAAAAGGGAGGAGGGTGAAGAGAGAATTGCCCATGCTACATCTGTTAGAAATATTTTGAGATGTAACTTATGTACACTAAGGTGCAGATTTTGATAGGTGGTTTTGAACATTTCTGTGACTTGATATACCCAGGTTACTGCCACGCTAAGACATGAAATATTTTTGTCATCCCAATAAATTAGTTTTTGTGTTGCTTGCTCTTCAGTTCTCCTGCCATATGAATAGCCATTATAAATTCCTTTTGCCATTATAAATTAGTTTTCCCAGTTCTAGGAATTCATATAAGTGGAATTGGTACAGTGTATAGTTTTTTGGGGGGTGTCTTATTCTCTTTTACGCGTCTCATTTTCTTTTATTCTGTTTTGAAATCCATCTGTGTTTGTGTGTCTCTAGGAATCATTACAACATATGTGACCTTTTTGGCTAGCTTCACTGTATTTTGTAGAGGTGAATAGAAGAATGAGAATTTAAACTGAGAGAATAAGTTAGCATTCCAAAATGGAGTAAGCACATATATAGTTGGGTCTCAGAGGAGACAAAACGGACTGTTTCGTGATTGACAAGTGTGGTGTCTGGAGACCTTAAAATTGGAACATATGCTGAGTTGGAATGAGGCTGTCAGATCCGTATAAACTATAGCGTCAATAGTTACAGTTAGGGATATGGGTACTTTGTCTGTGTTGCTCTGGAAGAGATTGGTGTTTACTTCATCCTTGGATAATTCTTGTTGGGCTTCTTGTTGAATATGTTTGTGTTGTGCTTTCTTTGGCTTTGCTCTGTGTATTTAAACCAAACCTGCAGTACTGTGAAAGAAAAGACAAGACTATATTTTATTGATTCCATTTAGAAGTATGTCCATTTCTGAGGTCTTTTTTTTTTTTTTCCTGAAGGCCTGGGCTTGGGTATGGATTTATATAAAACAGCTTATGGTTGTTTCTCACTGGCTAGTGTATTTCCTCTGTGATTTCCTAGTTATTTCCTTCTGGTATCTTTGGGAAGGTTCTCGGAGCCTGACATTCAATAATCCAGATGGGTTTCTATGCTTAGATCCAGTAATATGCACAAAGTTTTCATTTTCTAGAGATATCTTTAAATATGTGAAGGTTAATCGGCTGGGCATTATAGTGGAAAAAGTTACTGAAGATATCCAGGGACAGTTTTGTGTTTTTTACAAGCTCATAAGAGAAAATTAGAGCAGGTGGTGAAATTCCTTTAGCAGAAGAGAACATATCCATGTTCCCTGGATTTAGTCTTGTTTCATTTTCTAGATGAGGCTCATTAAAAATCAGATTTCCAAGCCGCCGGGCATGGTGGTGCACGCCTGTAATCCCAGCACTTGGGAAGCTGAGGCAGGAGGATCCCTGTGAGTTCGAGACCAGACTGGGCTACATAGGGAGTTCCAGGTCAATCTCAACTACATAGTGAGACCCTGTCTCAAAAAACCAACAAAACAAGACAAAACAAAAAAATCAGATTTCCAGGTGTTTAACCTCAGATCTTGTAGAGGAGAGTATTTTGTAGCAGGGTTTTAAGATCTGATTGTATAATGTGCCCAGAGATTATGATATACAAATGTTAAGTTTATTTCTGTCCACTTTACTTTTCTCTGGACAACAGCTGTTTTTTTTTTTTTTTTTTTTTTTTGAGACCGGGTCCTACTATGTAACTCAGGTTGGCCTCAGTCTCCCAAGTGCTAGGATTATAATAGTTGTGCACCACGGCATGGCCCCCTCGAGACATTTTGTTTTTCAACTATTCATAATTTAAAAACTAGATGGCTAATTGTATTAATTAGGTCCAAGATCATTAGTGTGACAATTTTAGTCCTCACCTTCTGCTGTAATACATACCCAAGATGAATCAACTTGAAGAGATGGAAGGGTTATTTTGCCTCATGATTTCAGAGATTTCAGGCCACGGTTGTTTGTCTCCATTGCTTTCAGGAAGGTAGTACATTGTGGTGGCAGGTTGCAGTGAAAGAGGCCAATCAGCTCATGGAGGTCTGGAAAGTGAAAGAAAAAGCAGGACCTGCTTTCTCCTTTCAGGGCACACCCTAGTGATCTGACCTCCTCCTTACGAGAGCCCCGCTTCCCAAAGGTTCC